CAGTTAGCAGAATTAGCCTGCAATACTGTATTCTAACCACTGTGCCACCATGGCTCTTGAATCTTAAAAGTCTGCCAAGATAGGGCTATTATGACTTTCTTTCTCACATCTTTTCCTGTTGATTCTACAAGGCTGATTGGAACTATTTTTTATTAAGATAGGATAGAGTAACAGCATCTTAAAAACCTGTGTTTTTCCTTCCCTCTCTCTGATACCCTGGTGAATGAGGATGGAGCCAGTCTGAGCTTTTTTCTAAACCTTCACTGTTTTCTGGGCTCAAAGCATGCTTGTGTTTTGGGGACTGCAGGTAAGCACTGAATCTAGTTTTAAGAATTAAGCATCGTAAGAAGGGAATGCAGAGCTATTTTAAAGGTGCCTATCAACATCTGGATATCTCTCCTACTAGGATTAAATGAATATTACTCTTCAGATTGTACTTTTATAATTATTTCTACATTTGCATCCATCCATACAAATTAGCACCTACTAATTTTGGGGGGATATGAATATTGCCTTTTTTGGAAGAGTCATACAGTAAGACACCATAAATAGTAAGTAAGATTCCCCAACTATTTGCACTGAGTGAAATGATCTGAAGTTCTCTAGCGGAGAGATGAGCTATAGCTTGAAGAATTAAAACTTGAAACTTTACATGAAGATGTAAAAATAGGAGGAAAATGGTAGCACCGATTTAACCAGAGGAGGAAAAAAAACTGCTGCTACTATTTTTAAGAAAGGGAACAGCTGGAACATATTTTGTGTTGAGCACAGCCATATGTATTTAATGCAAGACCTGATTTGCAATTTAAAGCAATACACTTCTGCCATTCCAGATTTAATTTTTGAGAATAGCTGACAATTAGTTAAAGAAGTCAGCCTTTTCCAGCCTGATGCTTGGAATACCTTGTAGAAGTAGAAATAGAAGTAGAATCCTTTATTGGACAAGTGTGATTGGACACACAAGGAATTTGTCTTGGTGCAAATGCTCTCAGTATACATAAAAGAAAAGATACATTCGTCAAGAGTCAAGAATCATAAGGTACAACATTTAATGATAGTCATAGGGTACAGTAAGCAAGCAAATCATACTAGGAAACAGTCAATATAAATCATAAGGATACAAGCAACAAAGTTACAGTCATACAGTCACAAGTGGGAGGGGATGGGTGATAAGGAGTGATGAGAAGATTAACAGTAATAGTAGTGCAGACTTTGTAAACAGTTGAACAGTGTTGAGGGAATTATTTGTTTCACAAAGTGATGGCTTTCAGGAAAAAACTGTTCTTGTGTCTAGTTGTTCTGGTGTGCAGTGCTCTATAGCGTCGTTTTGAGGTTAGGAGTTGAAACTGTTTATGTCCGGGATATGAGGGGTCTGTAAATATTTTCACAGCCCTCTTTTTGACAGGTCCTTGATTGAAGACAGGTTGGTAGTAATGGTTTTTTTCTGCAGTTGTCTGAGAATAATACGAATTGTAATCTAACACAGATAGTCCTGAACTTATCACAGTTTGTTTAGTGACATTCAAAGGTACAGCAGCACAAAAAAAAGTGACTTATGACCATTGTCACATGTGTGGCCATTGCAGCGCGGTGATCATGTGATCAAAATTTGAACACTTGGCAACTGACTCATATTTATGACGATTACCATGTCCCGGGGTCATGTGATCCCCTTTTATGACCTTCTGACAAGCAAAGTGGGGAAGCCAGATTCATTTTACAACTGTGTCACTAACTTAACTGCAGTGACTCACTTAACAACTGTGGCAAGAAAGGTTGTAAAATGAGGCAAAACTCACTGAACAAATGTCTCGCTTAGCAACAGAAATTTTGGGCTCAGTTGTGGTCATACGTTAAGAACTATAATATGTAGAACACAGGTTGAAGAATGCTGCTTTATGGTATAAGGACTACAGGGTAGTTTCTAGAAATATTCATCATTAAATCATAATGTGATATTCTACAAACATTTACTGTTATGTTCAGTAATCCATGCAATATTCCTGCAAGGTATTATTACTTTGCAGATGAAAGACACACATGAGAAAATGATTTGGTGATATAAGGACACCCAAATTCATAGATCATGGTTCAGTAAGGTTATCAAGTATGCCCATAAATAAATATTGTTCTAAAACAAATATTTGGCCAGCTAAGTAATGGCTGACTCGTCATCTAAAGTCAATTTTATGTACACTCATCAGGAAGTAGTCGCTTCTGAATACAGCGGGATGTATTCTGAGAAAATGTTCTTAAGGATTATGTTTTTATTCTTCCATATTCTCTGAACAAGAGGCATTCAGTTTGTATTATTTTATAAGGGATAGCCAGAAGATAGATTGAGATCTACTGATTGATCTTTGGATGTACACAAGAAATTGGTAAGGGTTCCTGACCCTAACAGTTTAACTGTATAATCAAGATTGTTATATAATTAATTGCTCAATTATATAATCAACCACTCAGTCTCAGTTATATTTCTGAAATATGGAAAACTTGAAAATCAGTGGTAGATTTCTTTAAATTTTAAAATGTTTAAATTCCTCTTTACACCTAGTCCTAGTGTCAGCTTTGGAAGCTATATTAGCACCAGATGCTTCCACACTGCCACATTCTTGAGCCTGGGAAATTGGGAGCGGGGAATTTCTTGGAGTGTATGTGGTTAGACATAATAGCATTCTTCTTCTAAGTCAAGGTCATGTTATTTCTGCACCTGGTTGAAAGAACATCTCAAGTTGGGACGGATGGTGATTGGGGCATGTGATGCAATGATGGGTGCAGGGGGTAGATTTGTAATTTTTTACTTATTGCAAGGAAATCTGGAACTTTCAGATTCGGGATTTCTCAGATGTGCCAGTTTACTACTCTAATAAAAAGAACCTTGGAGACGACGTCTGTCTTGGAGTTATTTGTTGGAGTGGAGGTTTTTTATGGAACACTGACAGCTAGACTTATATAACAGTTCATTTAGTGACCATTCAAATTTACAACACTACTAAAAAAAGTGAGTTATTACCATTTTTCACATTTATGATGATTGCGGCATCCCCATGGTCAAATGATCACACTTGACAACTAGCATGTATTTAGGATAGTTGCTGTGTCCTGGGGTCATGTGATCACTTTTTGCGACCTTCTCACAAAGTCCATGGGGAAGTGAGATTCACTTAACAACTAACTGCAATGATCCACTTAACAACTGTGCAAAACTCAACTCTTGCTTAACAATGGCAATTTTAAGCTCAGTTGTGATTGTGAGCCAAGGACTACTTCTACCTTCACAAGTTTTAGCCTCCTGACTGGTTGCACAATTAATCTTTAGTACCTGTCAATGATTCTGATTATGGGAGAGAGGAACGAGACTAGAATGCGGAGAAGAAGGGAAATATTTGATGACTAACAAGAGAAAGCCAGAACCTGCACCATACAAATGTAAAAGGGAAATTTCTGAGATAAGGAGAGCTCCTCAACAAGAAATAGAAAAAAACAAAACAAAATGTCTGGTGTTCCTATCTACTGTCTGATGTTGAGAGGAGTAGAGAGATGTGAAAGTAAGGAAATCTCAACAGATTGGGCTAAATTGGTGATTCATGACACTTCCTGTTGGTTTCAGACAGGAAGAGGAAAGTGTAAGGTATCATAATGAAGATATTTTTTGGTTCCAGATGACAAAGAAATGGAAACAGAGAGGGGGTGACCATATTCTTCAGCTACCTACAACCACAAAATTGTTCATACTGTTTCCTAGTATGATTTGATTTGATTGCTTATTGTACCCTATGACTATCATTAAGTGTTGTACCTTATGATTCTTGACTCTTGATGAATGTATCTTTTCTTTTATGTATACTGAGAGCATTTGCACCAAGACAAATTTCTTGTGTGTCCAGTCAAACTTGGCCAATAAAGAATGCTACTTCTACTATTCTAAAAAAAATCAGAAGAGGAGGGGAAGAAGAACATAGAGAAGGAGGTGGTGTTAGAAATAAACCTGCCAAGCCAAGAACCAGTGATTCCCAGATTGAAGAAAACTATTATATCAACTCATTCAGCTGCAGTGAGAATGGCCAAATAGCCTTTGATTTGGAAAAAGTAGGAGGAAAAAACCTAAGATTTAAACACTGGAGTTTAAATTTACAGTATATATAAGTTTTGATTGCTAAATACTGCTGTTATCGTTGACTTAATTTTCTTCTGCAATAAGATAATGAGTTTAATTTAGTCTGTGAACCTCCATTCAGAAAGCCAAGTTCTGAATAAGGAGTCTGGAGAACTCATTAAATAAAGGTCAAAATCTGAGGAATCCAAACTTACTGCCATGTCAGGTATCAAGTCTACAATGATTATGACTTAATAGAACAATAGAATAACAGAGTTGGAAGGGATCTTGGAGGTCTTCTAGTCCAACCTCCTGCTTAGGCAGGAAACCCCATACCATTTTAGACAAATGGTGGTCCAATCTCTTCTTAAAAACTTCCAGTGTTGGAGCATTCACAATGTCTGGAGGCAAGCTGTTCCACTGGTTAATTATTCCAACTGTCAGGAAATTTCTTCTTACTCCTAGGTTGCTTCTCTCCTTGATTAGTCTCCATTGCTTCTTTTTTATAACTTAGATTATAAGCAGTAAAAAATGATATCACTTCAGTCAAAAATATTTGTCACGAATGAAGGCAAATATACGTTTCCCAGAATTACTACCAACTTATCAAATACTTAGGAACCAAGGACTTGGCAGCACAAGGAAACAACAGCCAATTGCCAGCCATCAACAACACACAATCAGTCAATAGGAAGGCACCACATGAACACAGAACAGGCCAAAGCACTTCTCAGCAGAGAGAAATTCCCTGAAGATGGATCCCAGATGATTGTTATTGGAATGGCCGCACAAAAACACTGAACAATTAAACAATGAAGGAGCACACTCTAATACAAATATGCATAATAACACCACAACTTTCTAAGCATGTTAATTATCTTTTTTAAAATGTGTTTCTTAGGTGGGTATTCCTGTACGAGAAAGGCTACCAGTCTAAGGATGGCATCATAAACTCTGTCTCAGTGAAGCTCAAAGGCATCGCAGTTACAAACATTAGTGGCATGGGTCCATACTTATGGGATGTGGCAGACTATGTTTTCCCTCCTCAGGTAAGACTTCAGGAGCGACAGAAGAGTCATTTCCAGAGAATAAACAGAGGACTTTGGAATTAGGTCATAAATACTTTTTGTGGGGTCCGTCATAACTTCAACTGGTTGCTAAGCAACTGCTCATAAGTCAAAGAGTAATTTAGGAGAACTTTCCCCTTTTACTTGTTACTGCTTGGTCAAAGGTTGACTCCAGGGTTCTGCTGAAAGAAACATGGCACTCAAAAGGAAAGATCAACCTTCTCCTATTTTGGATGAGTATTTATCAATTAGACTAATATTACATTAAATATCACATCAATATTTTAAAATCTTCCCAGTTGAACTGGAAATTGCTCAGTTCTAATTTTGAAGCTCCTGGGAGGCTCCAAACAGATTGTCTGCATTTTTTTCTCACCTATTCCTGCCCTTGCTGTGAATAGTGAAAGGGGTTTGTCCTCATTCTCTCTTTAGGTCTCTTGGTCATTCAGCCCCAACTCTAAGAAACAGTCTCTACTCTGGCAGTTTGAACCTTAGCCCAGCATGGCAGGATGAACTTCTGTCATTCGCCTTAGCATCTATCCACCTAACAGTTTGAAAGCACGTTCTATGCAAGTAGACAGATAGGTACCACTTTGGTGTGGAAACAACTAGAGCTCTATGCAGGCAGTCAGATTCCTGATAGCTCTGAACCTTCCTGTTTGCAAGGCAGCTCTGGGAAAGGAGTGGGGCCTTGGGTGATGCTGCAGGAAGACCTGCTTGTCTTTCTCTCTGGTACAAACCAGCTCATCCTCCTGAGGCACACCTTGGAAAATCCACAAGCATTTCCTATAATAGAGCTGGTGCTTTAGCAAGCCAAACTACTACTCTGCACTAGCATTGTGGTCTCCTGGCTACTGTAATACCACTATACGATGATGATGATGATGATGATGATGATGATAATAATAATAACAACAACAATAATAATAATATAGCATTTGTTATATATTTTTAAATGTTCGTTTCATGTTTAATGAATAAAAGTTTATAATATAATAATAACAACAACAACAATAATGACATTACTATTGTGGAAAACAAAAAAGTCTGGTTCATTGATATTGCAATACCAGGTGATACACGAATTGAACAGAAACAACTAGAAAAAAATAATAAAATATCGCTATTTGCAAACTGAAGTTGAGCGATTGTGGAGGAAGAAATCAATGGTCGTACCAAAAGGAGTCCTTGGAGCAGTATCCCAAAGGCTGCCTATGGAAATTTTGAACTTATTAGACCTGAATATCCTGACTCTGCAAAACACCACCTTACTCGGAACTGCCTATATATACTCAGATGTTACCTTAATAGTTCTTCAGTCCTTGGTTAAGACTTGAACTGCTAAGTTTTTACTAGTCTCAGGCTGTGAATCAAATTGAAGATTAAATCATCATAATCATAATAACCCCAGCTCTTTCTTAATTGCTTATCTTATGAACAGAAGAACATTGAGATGTATCATGTATTGCTTTTCTGTGGGATTTAAAAAAAAAAAAAACTTTCCACTTTTGCCTACAGCCCTGATATTTTTCTGATGGTTTTCCATTCAAATATAAACCAGCTCAGACCTTGCTTAAGTTTTTCAAGATAAGTCAATATCAGCTGCAATCACTACAGCCAAAGATACAAGTCCCGATGTGATTTTTTAACTTTCTGTGCTTAGCCAGGAATCAACAGGACAATCTGCAACTATTAAATGATTAGTTTCATATTCATCTTATTTTCTTCTGCAGGGAGACAGTTCCTTTGTGGTGATGACTAACTTTATTATCACCCGTGGGCAGAAACAGGAAACATGTCCAGGGGTATGTAGCTTTATATTGCCACTGTATATCATTTAGTTTATTTGTCTTCTGTAGAATACCATAAAGATAACCTCAGAAAAAGAATGTACAGTAAAGTTAGCAAAGTATGTATGAAGCCAGAGAAGACAATGTGAGGAAGAAACTGAAGGTTGCCCTGCCTTGACTCTTGTTAGTATAAAAAAGACGGGAAGGAAACGTTATCAGGCTTTTAAGATGCTATTATTGTGGCCTATATCTTTATAGTAAAGTTTCAGTATGCTTTGCAGAGTCTGTTTTCTGATTTAGCTTACCTCAAAGAGTTGACATCAATCTTGAAAGCCTGAAATTTCCCCTTCTCCCTCCCTTGCATCAATGAAAGTCAAACACATTGTTTGTTCTTGCACTATCTGGTCTCCCCAGATTTAATTCACAACTTGCCAATGATATTTGCATAAAGTAATATTAGCCCATCTGGTTATGATTCTTATCTGGCTTACCCCACAAAACCAACAAGAGGGGAATTCCTTAGCATCCTGCAAGAAGGGTGACTAAAGAAGAATGCAAGTTGCATTCTTTGTAAGTGATGATGTTTCCATGGCAGCCATTTTGTGAATGGCCAACCGTCTCCCAAATGGCCAACAGTACACCAACATGCCCACCAGCCCCAAAAGGCTGTATAGCTAACTATAAAAAACAGATGGAGTTTTTGTTTATTCAGTAATATATTTTAAAAGTCCAGCTTTCTACCATTTGCAAAACTGAGTCCCTATATAGTCACATATTTTTAAAATAGAATGCTAAATGTCATGTTACTGGTCAAGCAGGAGCGTTAGGAGGGCTTGCAATTCACCTCTGCACTGCTTGTTGAATTACTTCCATTTTTCTCCCCTTTGCAGCATCCTGAGTCTGAGAAGTGTAACAATGACAGTACTTGTAAGAAAGGAGAGTTTCTTCGCCGAGGTCAAGGTGAGAAATAGCTTGGCACACAACATGCTTAATCAGGACAAATACAGCCCAATGATTTTCTCATGGTCTCCTATCTGAGTATAGGTAGTCCTCGACTTACAACAGTTTATTTAATGACTAAAGTTACAACGGCACTGAAAAAAGTGACTTATGACTGTTTTTCATATTTATGACTATTGGAGCATCCCCATGGTCACATGATGAAGATGCAAACACCTGGCAACTGACTCATATTTATTGCAGTGTCCCAGGATCTTGTGATCACCTTTTGCAATCTTCTGATAAGCAGAGCCAATATGGAAACCAGATTCACTTAACAATCATGTTACTAACTTAACAACTGCAGTGATTCACTTAACAATTGCAGCAATTGTAAAATGGGGCAAAATTCATTTAACAAATGTCTCATTTAGCAACAGAAATTTGGGCTCAATTATGGTTGTAAGTTGAGGACTATCTTTTTTGCATCACACGCTAAAAACCTGGATAGTGTTAACCTTGGTTTGGTTTTTTTTATGACTTAATGTGTCATATGAACTCATATGATAGTATTACTTTATAATTTAATGTATTGTGTGAACATAAACAATGCTATTATACCAGAGGTGAGATTCTACTAGTTCGCACCTATTCGCTAGAACCGGTTGTTAACATTCTAAGCAGTTCAGAAAACCAGTTATTAGAAGAAATTACTAGCCTAATCCTGTAAGGAAGACAGGAAGGAAACATTCTGGTGTTGCTTATAGAAACTGCCTCTCCATTAACCCTTATTACATTCTTGGCAGGACTAGACTTCCTGTCTCTGGAACTTCTCTGGAGTTTTTTTCCACTCCTTTGCTGGTACTTTGCTTGTATGGAGTGACCATTTAAAGTTACAATGGCACTGAAAAAAGTGACTTATGACCATTTTTCACACTTACGACTGTTGCAGCATCCCCACAGTCTTGATAGGCCAGGCAAGGAGATGCATACCTCGATATAAGTGATATTGAATTGGCCATGCCCAGCCAATAATATGACCACCAATCCATGCCCACCACCTAAGCCATGCCCACAGAACCGGTTGTTAAAAAATTTGAATCCCACCCCTGTATTATACTGTATATGTTCGATAAAGAAAGTTACTTCCTTGTTTATATTATTTGTCATGTGATTTATTATACATACTTTAAAAAAAAGTTTAACAGAATTTTCCCAGAATGTTTATAGTCCAATATCCTGTTTTCCATAATGACCAACTAGATTTAATGGGAAACTCACATGCAACTATAAATTGAGGATGAGCTAATATGAGCTTTTTTCTTTCAGCTTCGTTCGGGTATTTTCCCATGTCATTGTAGTTGTGCTTTTAAAGTTGTAGCAACGTTTCGGCAGAATCTCATCTGCCATCATCAGGCTTCTGTATAATGAATATACTATACAGAAGCCTGATGATGGCAGATGAGATTCTGCCGAAACATTGCTACTTTAAAAGCACAACTACAATGACGTGGGAAAATACCCGAACGAAGCTGAATGCCATACATGTAAGTACCCGCGAAAACTTAAGAATGAATACACACACACACACACACACACACACATATGCATACATATGTATGCATATACTATATATATACTGTATATAATATATATGTGCATATTCCGTAATATTATTTTTTAAATTGACACTGCCTTGCTAAATACAGAAAAATGTGAATTTTTGAACATACCTATGCTTTCCATTCGTATGTTGATTCGAAAATCCTAAATTACAGAGCATTTGACATTTAACGGTACAAAAACAGCAACTAAGAGGGGAAAAAAATTAGGACAGATTACAATCAGTGGCCTTGAGATGTTGCCTAATTGTTTTCCAGGAGATGGGGAGAGGAAGGAAATTGGGGCTAGGTTTTTGAACAGAAGCATTTATATTGCAACATTTTGAGGCTTTTCCTCCATTATTGTTTTACTGCTTGTTATTCCCAAAGGTGCTTTTTCAAGAGGCATCTGGATTTTCTGGTTTTCCTTTGAAGTCGTTTTGCTTCTCATCCAAGAACCGAAACATCTTCAAAGAAAAACCAGAACGTCTAGTTGCCTCTTGAAAAAACACCTTTGGGAGAACCATGACCTGGATGACTGAGACTCTCCATAGACATTGCTTGTTATTGTTAATATAAATGCAATAGGGCAGCATTTCTCAATCTTGGCAACTTTAAGCTGTGTGGACTTCAACTCCCAGAATTCCCCAGTCAGCATGTCCAACAGCTTAAAATTGGCAAGGCTGAGAAACACTGGCATAGAGTGGTAAGAAAAGTTAGCAATACAGGTTGTCCTCAATTTACAACTAGTCGCTTAAGTCTCCAAAAAACAGACTTGTAGTATGAATTTGAAGTTCAAACATCTGTCCTCCTCTGCACCACAGTCATGACTGGATTTTGGTTGCTTGGCAACTCTGCATTTATAGCTATTTGCAGTGGCCCGTGGTCACATGACCACAATTTTCAATGTTTCTGCTAGAAACCGATATTTATTTCCTGTTTGCAGCAAAACCACTCCATAGCAAATAATGGGTTCACAACAACCCTTTTTTTTTTCTGAACAACCCTGGCATTTCCTTTACCATTGCCACAGAAATGGTCATAAAATTGAATACCACTTACATGGTAACCCAGTTACAACCATCATGAATTATAACTTAAGGACTACTTGTATAAGAATATTATTATGTGAACACATACAGAAAGCATTTGATGATGATAGGTTAAATTGACAAATACCAAGTTCTGTATGAGGACAAACAATAATGTTAACATTCCAGAAGAATTAGATTTTCATTTTCAAACTGAAAAAGGCAAAAACTTATTGTCAAAAATGACAATAATCTCCTAATCTCCCTGCGGAAAAGTTTTATAAATGTGATTTTTTTAAAAAAGTGAAAAAGAGACAAGGTGACATAAATTAGAAACTGTTAATGAATTAAATCTGTTAAATCAACTACAATAGAAATCAGGTAGGCTCGTACAACATTCTATACCCTAAATAGTCATGTGTTCCCATAAAATGCAGTAATCAAACAAAAAAACTTAAAAGTGGGATTTCCATAACACAGAATCACAGAGTTGGATGGGACGTTGGATGTTAGCTATTCAGTGTCCTCTTCGCTAGAGGTTGTGCTGCAGTGTCTCTTCACCAAATGGTTGTCCAGCCTCTGAAGATGTTCAGTCATATGGTTATTAAGTTCTTCCTGCCATCTCCAGCCTGAACTTCTTTCCTTGTAGTTTTAATACCTTGTTTCTGATCTGGTCCTTGCCTCCCTCTTCTCCATGATAGCCATTCAGATATTCAAGAGATTGCTGTTGTATCTTCCCTCAGGGTCTAAAACTAAGTATAACTAAATCCTTTATCTGTTCCTTATGAAATTTGAGTTTTCAGCCATCCTCTGAATTCACTTCAGTTTGTTACTGTAATTTTATTTTTGAACATGATCCTGAGAACTGGACACATCATCCCAGACGGTGTCGAATCAGGACAAAGTAGAAAAGAATGATTACACCCTGAACCACAAACTACGTAATTGTTAGCTTGGACTTATCTGTTCGATTGCATCCTCAGTTTGAGAAGCAATAACACAGAGAGTAGAGTAACATGGGGTGGTCCATAGGCTCTGCTTGCTTCATACTGGTGTCTAAGGCGATCTTCATTCACTTTTTGACTATACTTTTCTCAGGAATCATGACTGGGAAATGTGTGGATTTTAGCCATACACAGAAGACCTGTGAGATATTTGGCTGGTGCCCTGTTGAAATTGATGACAACATTCCCAAGTAAGAAATGGGGGCAGGGTGAGAAACGGAGTTTCTGTTCATAATGATGCTAAATCTCAAGAAACAAGAATCAGCCTTCTATGGATACCAGTATTTTCATATATTTTCACATCTGTACATCAATATTTATGTCTTACAGTCCACCATTGCTTCTGGAAGCTGGAAAGTTTACTTTGTTTATAAAAAACAGCATCACTTTCCCCAAATTTGGAGTTTCCAGGTAAGCCAAAGATTCTTGTGACTGTAAGTTAGGCCCTTTAGTTGGGGTGGATTTTATTATATTTGGTGATTTATCCATCCACCCATTCAAGACATTTACAGATGTCCTTTATTTATTTATTAAATTTCTATACTGTCTATTTCACTTGCATCACTCTGGGTGGTTTACAAATTTAACCATAAAATCATATAAAAGCCATAGTTAAAATGAAGTAAAAATAGATTTAAAACAAAATTAAGAAAAATAAATGAGAAAGTTAAAAAGAGTACTGTCAACCCACCATTCACCCGCAGAGTTGGTTAAGTATTTTTAGAGCCTTGTAGATCTTTTACAAATTGCCTTACTGAAGGGTTGAAATGGCTTAGCTCTAGCTACAAATATTGCCATATCTCCACCTTATCATATTTTAATACACCTATAATTATAATCAATATTCAGATCTTTATATTTTTCCTGTCTGCTTCATATTGAGATGCTTAAGGGAATTTAACATAATTTGAAAGTGGTTCTACTGTGATCTAAAAACAATGAAACAAACTGAGATGATGGTTTGCTTTCCTCTAACACAGACGCAATCTTGTCGAGCAAATTAGTGAACGCTACCTGAAAAAATGTGTTTATCACAAAGACAAGGATCCACTGTGCCCTGTGTTTAAACTTGGATATATGGTGGAAGAATCTGGACAGAATTTTTCTCAAGTTGCTTTTAAGGTGAGGCTATTCTGAATGGTCAGAGGCACAAAAGGTTGACAGTCTATAGGCCGAGCCACAGGTATCCAATAGAAGCCATAATTATGTCACACACATCAGAGTGCAAATGGCATAGATCGGGGGTGTCAAACTTGATTGAGGGCCTCATCAGAATTGTGTTTGACCTTGGGAGGCCTGGGTAGGTGTGGCTGGGGTGGATGTGGCCAGCTCAACGTCACTCGTGTTGGGGGTGCCAATGGTGGGCCAAGCACTCTGCCAGTGAAAACAGGCTCCCGAGCTCCGTTTTCAGCTGAGATGGCCTCCCGCAACCCTCTGCCAACGAAACGGAGCTCGGGAGGGCTGCCTGTGGCCCTCACAAGCTCTGTTTTTGACTATGATGGCCTTCTATGTGGCCCTCACGAACTCCATTTTTACTGGCAGAGGCACCGTGGGCCAGTCCTTTGCTGTTTCCAGGGTGGCCCCACGGGCCAGATCTAAGAGCCCTGTGGACTGGATCTGGGCCCCGGGCCTTGAGTTTGACACCCCTGGGATAGTTTATGTTATTTGCAGGATGACATAATGTACATGACATCCCTTTTTTCTTTGCAAACCCCTGTTGCTGAGGCAATCTGATTTGCATAACTTTTACAAATGAAGGCAAATATGCACATCCCAGGATAATGTCGCAGAATCCATTCTGGGTTGGTCATTGGGACCAGAGCTTTCGGACTCATGCTGGAGTCCATCCTGTGTCTGTCTCTCACATTCTGGTGTGAGAGAACTTCCCTGAGGACGGGCTCCAGCATAAGTCACCGCACACCAGAAAAACTAGACACAAGGACAGTTATTTCCTGAATGCCATCACTCTGCTAAACAAATAATTCCCCCAACACGATCAAACTATGTACTAAGTCTGATTATTACTATTAATCTTCCCATCCTTCCTTTCACCCATCTCCTCTCACTTATGACTGTGTGGCTGTAACTTTGTTGCTTGTACCCTTAAGATTTATATTGACTGATTTGATTGCTTATTATTATTAAGTGTTTTATCTTATGAATCTTGACTAATGTATCTTTTTCTTTTATGTACACTGAGAGCATTTGCACCAAGACAAATTCCTTGTGTGTCCAATCACACTTGGCCAATAAAGAATTCTATTCTATTCTATTCTATTCTATTCTATTCTATTCTATTCTATTCTATTCTATTCTATTCTATTCTATTCTATTCTAAAGTCCAAAAGCTTGGAAGACTAAACATTTGGTCCTGGTGGTTGACTTAAATTGAATCCTGTTGCATAACTTCCCTCCATCATATGATCCAATAAGACAATTGTCACCAATAAAGGAAGAGGAATTTCAGGGACAAAAGAGTATGAGGGTGGATCTGTGTTTACTTAAAGCAAAAACAAAAGGCCTTAGTGTCATTCTTAGCTGTTCCAGTGTTAAAGTACTATTTGCCCCTTCATACAGGAACAAGCTGTACCAATTCTGCTTCACCAATCACTCAGTCAGTGTCATATCCTGGTAATCATGGGGTGTGAGCAATCTGGCATCTAATGACCGTTTTAGGCTGCTCCTGTCCTTTTTGGCTGCTGGATGCTATAAGATCCAGACTCTTTATCGTCTTCGTTGTTCTTCTCTGTTCTTCTCTGTCTCAACATCTTTTCTGTATCATGGTAACCAGAACTGGACACTTGCTGCTTCATTGCAATTTTCTTTGTACCTGTCAGCCATTGCTCAGGTTGTTTTTGAACATAGGTTTAGCACTCTTCCAGCATAGTGCTAAGCTTGTACCCAAAATTACCATGATAATCAGTTTTGTTTTGGTGTGATCTCTAAAAGATTCAAAATGACAGAGTAGCATTATACCCTTATACCTTTAAACTTATATATAAAGCACCTATGCCACATCAGAATATGTTTTGAAAGATGAATACATTTTCTATTTATCAAAACTCCCTTCCTATGAAGCTGTAGCCCATTACCGGAGAATAATTGGATATTTTTACACTGATTAGTTGATTCATGGGCCAACAAATCTGGAGAATCCACCAATCTCTGTTCTAATGTTCTCTGTGTAATGAAAATAAGAAAAATGCTACTTGTTAGTATCATGTCAATGGCAGGACAGGGATCACCAGAAGGGGCACCAAATTTTATGCCAGAGTAAAGTGCAAACAGCACTTTAACTCAGGTGTGACAAACCTCTCTAAGTTCTCCTTCTGTCCCCATAGATCTTCCAATGTCCTTTAGGCACCCAGCTTAGGTGTCAAACAGTATTTTCTCAGCACCTCATTCCAGAAAGCCAGAGGCCATCTCTATATCCCATGCTGATAAATTCCATAGGTTAACACAGTGTAATGTGAAAATATCTCACCACCACCCCGCCTCTAGCTGAATTTCCCACTATCTAGTTTTTAGTGTATGACCTCGTATTATGAGAGTAGGAGAAAACATCTGTGCATTACTTTTATGATGTCCATTTTAGTGTATCATTCTTGCATTCATTTTCCCTTTATATTCTTCTAACATATGTAGCCATGTCTTAACTGCAGTGGTAGGTGGCTCCCAACAGGTCATAGCCATGAATCTTGCTTCTTCTGAGTTGCTGTTCTTTGTTTTCTATGTACATTTCTTGAAGGATGGCCATGTCTATGTTACTGTCCAATAAACATTTAGAAACATATTGGCTCTTGAGTCTTCTGAGCCCTTCAACATTGTTTTGGCAGATTTGAATAATATTATTCGATCTCTCTTGTCATTTGGGCCTGTAAAGGTCTAGAAAATGGCCTAGACATTGGTATTTGAACATAGATCTTTTTAACATTTCAATTTTGTTGTAGTTTACTAATCTAGGTGAAATGTTGATATATATAGCTTGTCTATGTATGATATGCCATACACTAAATAAATAAACCCTTTTTCCTTTTTGTGCCCAGCTGGAGTACAGAAACTAATCACCCCTGGTACAGTTTAAAACTAAGTGGGATTATACTTGATTAGTATTTGGAACAGACTACCAAAAAATAACAGGGTTTAAAGTTGGATCAAGATGTTGAAAGAAATGTTCTGAAAGTTGCCAAGAAAACTTAATGGACAAATCCAGGAAATCACCAGGAATTGAGGCGTTAAGGAGTTGAGTTCACCCTAAATGAAATTTCAACTTCACCTTCTATTATATGCCTTTTTCTCTAAATAGCCTCAAATATTCTAAACAAGTCATGAACAAAACTTTATTGTGGTCCTTACAAAAAGTGCTGCTTTTGTTTGGACAGGGTGGCATTGTTGGAATCACCATAAATTGGGACTGTGACTTTGATTGGCCTCTGAAATACTGTGTACCTGTTTACAAGTTCCATAGGCTTTACAGTGAAAACAGTAACGTCTCGCCAGGCTATAATTTCAGGTATGGACTGACTTTTGTGGTTGTTTCATTTAGCATACGACATTTCAGCTACTATGAAAGAGTGGCGCGGTGGCCTAGAGATGGAGCTGTCAGGAGGCTGTGAGTTCAATTCTAGATAGAGGCAGATATTTCTCTCTCTGGGCACAATGAGAATATAATTCCGCATTGGTGACAGGAAGGGCATCCGGCCAGTAAACACTTATCTCTATTCAGTTGCCCAGATCTCACCCTGTAAGAGATTATGAGGTTGTTAAACGATGATGATTTCGGCTACTATGAAAACCAATCTGGGCCTTATACAACTCAGGAGAATGAACGAGGAAGGAAATATCAGGGAATCAAAGTCAAAAGCCAGGAAGCCCAATGGAAATTTAGGATTTAATTTGGACGCTTTGCTTCTTCATCCTAGGTGAATTGAGTGACTTCAGAGCATAAGAACATGTCATTGTCTAGAAAAGCCAAACTAGTAAGCATGAAGAAATAGCACACAAAGTAATGGATTATTTAGATAAGGTCTCCTTGGATATAATTTCTATCTGCAGTCACTGCACATTTCCTTCAAAAAATAAGTAACTGTAATGAATGTCAGCCTATATTCCCCATAGATACTTGTCAGTTAGGTTTGGAAGTGGAAATTCTGCTCCGGCTCAATAATTATAGTAGACTAGCACCATCTTGTGGCTTGCTACATACATGTTTGATTACATTGGGTTTAATATACATGTAGTAAATCCAGTGATTCTCAGTGTGTGGGTCTGGGGATCCTTAAGACCATTTCAGGACCCTACAGAATTAAATAGTTTCAAAATGATTCCACTTTAATTAGTAATATAACAAATATTAATAGAAAAACCCAGATAACCACAGCTTTTTAAAGTGTTTTTCTGATGAGACTGGTCTATCGGGGCAATCTGGTCTACCCAATTATGGGAGGGAGCATATTCCTTCCTCTTTTGCCTTTCAGCCCCAGTCCAGGAGCCTTCGCAGGCAGTTGCTTCCACGACAAACTATTTTGTGTTAAATTTAAATTTACAGCTTTTTAAAGTTCCCGGTCATTTTTTAAAATGCAAAGGAGTTTCTGGGGCTGCAAGGTTTGAGAATCAGTGAGATAGTACATCTTCTAGGATTTTTTCGTTCACATATTTTGATTTTGATTATAATCTTGTGAGATTGCTCTGGTCTCCATCTTCACTCCACAAAAAAAAATATGACTGGGTGGGTTGAAGGGCAAACTTCCCGATAAAATAATATTGACAACTAGACAACCCATGATTGGTTGGATGATAATTTCCGTGACATTTCCTTACCTAGATAAAGAGACAGAATGACCAAGGGCAAAAAAAGCAGTGGAAACAGAAGTGACTTCCAACTTTCTATCAGCTTGACTATGGTTGACCACTTTCTGGTGGGACTGGTCTATCCAGCCTCCAGAGGGCTAGGGCAGGACCGTTCTACCTGATCGCCAGGGGCTGAAAGAAGGGATCCTAACCCTAATGTTGTAATGTTCAGGCAGCTCTTAATGCGGGAATCAAAGGATTCCCAAAGTATCTGTTTTCTGTAATTCTGTGATTTAATTATTTGGTTCCATGTCTTCATAGATACCCTTGTGATATATAGCCTATAAAACTGCTTTTAAAAGAGGAAGGAGAAAACCTGAAGTACTGGTAAATCCTGGGAACCTGACCAAAATTGATCAAAAGAATCCAGATGATAAAGGTTTCAGGCTACAAACTGTGGAATCCAAAGTATTGGCTTTGGGCCTCAGGTGTTTAGGATCAGTTTATAAGAATGACTATCTGGCCATTCTTTTGAAGATCAGCACTACACTCTGATCCTTAGCTGATCTTTATAGCTTAGCAATACAGGCATTTATTTTATTGTATTTATTTTATTGTATTTTAGGAAATTTATATTGCCATCTATCCGCACATGGTGACTCAAGGCAGCTTACAAGAATATAAAAACCTCATATAAAAAACAATACAACTAATAAAAGAGAGAATCCTATAATAAATTAATAAAATAATATAATAAAATCACCCTGTGCCCCAGCAACAGCACCTCACACGAGCCATTTAACAGGCTCCATCCCGCTCTGGGTTCCCCAGGCCCACTGGGAGAACCAGGTCTTCAGCGCCTTCTGGAAGAGTGTTAGAGTGGGAGCCATTCTAATCTCTGGGTGGATGATGTTCCAGAGACAGGCAGCCACCACAGAGAAGGCCTTTCTTCTAGGTCCCACCAGATGTATCTCCCTAGGGGCTGGGACCTGCAATAGCACCTGCCTCCCCACTCTAATGGGTCAAGTAGATGTGAAGGGAAAGAGACGGTCCCTCAAATAACCTGGTCCCAAGCCATGAAGGGCTTTAAAGGTGACAACCACCACCTTGAACTGCACCTGGAAGCAAATTGGCAACCAATGCAGCTCTTACAGGAAAGGTGTTACATGTGCACACCGAGGTCTGCACAAAACCATGTGGTTTTGCCATTTACTTTTTTGTAGAGGCCTACGTGCATAGAATCCTCACCCAAGGATTGTAAGACAGGTCTATTTTTTTTAAAGTATTTATTATATCTTTTAGTACCTGCTTTGAGTAAATGTTGTCTAGAAAGATACCTTGCAAATATTTTAAATTAATCAGTACATCTTTGATAATAACAATCCTTTGTTCCAGCCAGTCTCTTGTTTTCTCTTCTTTGTTTTTGGAAGATATGCCAGATATTACAGAGAAAATGGGAGAGACATGAGGATTCTGTACAAGGTGTTTGGCATCCGGTTTGATATCTTGGTGAATGGGAAGGTAGTGCTTGTTTTTGTAAAATAATTCTTTCCATTGTCTTAATCCCCTGGCTTATCTCTAATAGAACTGTCCTTCTCACAAACAGGCATTATGTTGGCTTGTAATCTCAGGTTACTTTATATATCATGAACTGTGTCAGGTCTTTATCCAACCTATCCAGCTAAATAGTCTACATTTCCTCAAAGTTCAAGGTGACTTAAGTAGTCTCTCTGTGTCCTGTTTTATCATGATTACAAGCTAAGATAACTAAGACAACGGACAGTGATTGACTCTAAGTCACTGTTTACTTTATTACTAGAAGAATAGCTAGACTGATTGCTACTGACTGTGCTTAATTAGTCAACCAAAGCTCAGTTGAGGTCTTTAATTGGTGACAGCCCTAATAATAGCTACTGTATTCACATCTTCTTTTCCCAACATCTTTGAATGTCTCTTTCCTGTTTATCCAGGCAGGAAAATTTGATATTATTCCAACAATGACTACTATAGGTTCTGGGATTGGTATCTTTGGAGTGGTAAGTGTATTTTGTCTTTCTATATTTTGCTGAGATCTTAAGATTTTACTAACAGTTCATAAGACTTCTAAAACCTTTGAAAATCTCGCATAAATCCTGTTATAAACTTTAGCATGCAGTATTCTTGGTGGTTACATACAAACCTAAGTTTGCCCATGTAATATTGCTACTATGGAAACTGCATTGCCTGAAAATTAACCCTATGGAGTTTTAAAGAGACTAGCACAGCTTTAAAGCCGGGATATCTCCAAGATGGTCTGCTCTGAATAGAATCTGCCCATCTGAAATGCCATATTATGGGTCCTACTGTCAAAAGGAGCCCTTTTAGTGAGGGTGTCTCCCCTCTAGAATAACCTCTCTCTGGATATAGATTGTCCATCTCTAATAAGTTTTGAAGATCCTTCAAAATCTGCTCTTTGGAGGGCCTTTGAACCTGGGAAACATGAACCTGGGGTGTTGTAACCATTGTAAATACAAGCATTTGAATTTTGATCACAAGACCTTGGTGATGCTGCAGCAGTCATAAATGACAGGCCAGGTCACAAGCCATTTTTTTCAAAGCCATTGTAACTTCAAAGGGTTGCTGAATGAATGTTTGTAAGTCAAGAGCCACCTATAGTTTGGCTGCTCCTGTCTAACATGAATTCTGTTCCAGCTTCTAGAGATGGATCCTAAGATCTATTTCCATAAGAGTCTGTAGAGATTCTCAGTCATCCTGGTCATGGTTGTCCCAAAAGTGCTTTTTCAGGAGACAGTTGGACTTTCTTGCTTTTTTTTTTCTTTTTCAAATGGTGGTTTTTCTTTTCCCAAAGGTGCTTTTTCAGGAGTCAACTATCAACTGGACTTTCTTGGTTTTTTTTCTTTTGAAAAAGAAAAAAACAAAGTCCAGTTGACTCCTGAAAAGCTCCTTTAGAACGATCATGACCTGGATGACTGAGAATCTCTACAAACTTTTAGCTATACAATGGCATGAACACTCTTTGAAGGGTGTGGGAGTAGGAATGGATTTCCAGAGGAAAAAAAATGCAGACTACAGGAACCAGGAGGGCTACTCAGGTGACACTGAGGACACTGATAAACCTCCAAGGGCTTCAAGGCCCTCTAAAAGGATGCAAATGACCAGCGGTCTGCAAGGAATATCAATCCTTCCATTCCCCACTATCCTGTCAAAGTTGAAGAAGCTTCTTGGATGAGAAGCAAAACATTTTCAAAAGAAAAAAAAATAAGAAAGCTCCGTTGCCTCCTGAAAAAACACCTTTGGGATATTTCTGTAAGACAACCTGATTATTTCACTACCACTCCCCCTTCACTAGCTTTAGCCTTCAAATATTGACATGGTTATTCGGGGACTCTAACTTGTAGCACAGCTATATTTTGTGCTTTAAAGTTGCACAAAATTCTAAAAACATGAAATTCTAAAAACATGAAAGAAGAAATAAGAGAGAAATCCACACTGATTTTTTTTGTACCAACATTCACAGTGGCCACTTACACATAGCCAAAATAAAGCAATACATCAGCAGAAGGAGACACAGCATGAGATGTACTCAGTTAACTGAAATATTGAAATACAAATTTAAGAAACATTACTGTAATTTAAAAAGAAGGCAGCATCTCCCCATCATGGAGAAAACTGGCTGAAAGAACTAAAACTACTCAATCTGCTGCCTAGATACCAACTGATTTTGAACATGTTTATTAAGAAAGTTATATTCTCCAATAGAAAGCATGTATTTGTGAGCTTTCTGTCTTTATGGTGGAGGGGAAAAAAAGAAGGAATCAGGTTAGGCAGCTAAAAAAGCCAATGCGATCCTAAGTTGCATTAACATAGGGATTCAATCAAGCTCAAGTGAGGTACTAATAATACCACTCTATAAAGCCTTAGTAAGACCACACATAGAATACTGCATCCAGTTTTGGTCACCACACTACCCAAAAAATGTTGAGACTTTAGAAAGAGTGCAGAGAAAAGCAACAAAGATCATTAAGGGATTGGCGCCTAAAACATATGAAGAACAGTTACATGAACTGGGCATGGCTAGTCTAGAGAAGAGAAGGACCAGGGGAGACATGATAGATGTCTTCCAATACCACAGGGGCTGCCACAGAAGGGAAGGGGTCAAGTTATTTTCCAAAGCACCTGAAGGCCAGACAAGGAATAATGGATGGAAAATGATCAAGGAGTGAATCAACCTAGAAGTAAAGAGGAATTTTCTAAAAGAACACTCAATCAATGGAACAGCTTGCCTTCAGAAGTTGTGGGAGCTTCATCACTGGAGGCTTTCAAGAAGAGACTGGACTGCCATCTGTCACAAATGGTGTAGGGTCTCCTGCTTGGGGGGCGGGGGTTGGACTAGATGACCTACAAGGTACCTTCCAACTCTGTTAATATGTTAAATCTGTTAAGGTTGACAAGTAGACCTTAAGAATATCATGCGTGTAATTGAGAAGAACATACAAAAAAGGTGGAAAGCAGCAGTGGTGGTATTCAAATATTTTTACTATCGGTTCTGTAGGCATGGCTTGGTGGGCGTGGTGTGCCTTGGTATGTGTGGCAGGGGAAGGTTACTGCAAAATCCCCATTCCCTCCCCATCCCACTAACCTGCTTTCCAGCTCCATTCTCCTGTGCAGGGCAACCAAAGAAGACCCAGCTGATCAGCGGGGACTTGGGAGGCAGAGAATAGATGGGGCGGGGCCAGTCAGAGGTGGTATTTGTCGGTTCTCCAAACTACTCAAAATTTCTGCTACCAGTTCTCCAGAACCTGTCAGAATTGGCTGAATACCACCTCTGGAAAGCAAGTATCTCTTCGCTGTTTTTGTATTCCTAATTTCCTAGGGGTCAGTGGGCTAAAGGGGGCCAAGAAGGTGTTTCTACAAGTTAGATCCAACAATATGTATACTGGCACAGTTGTCAAGAAGTCAAGATTCTTATCAAAGGTTTCAAAATTTGATAAATAAACTTGTAGTCACATATTTCCGACAGACAGAAAGAAAATGAGTAAAGTCAGGATAGTAGTTTACAAGATTCTTTCTTCTCTAAATTATCATAAATGCCCAACTCACTTGTATTAAAAAGCAAGGATGATACCTCCCAGCCAATCAGCCATTTGAGATCTCTTTGAGAATGATGGAAAATAGTGTCCAGTTTTATCTCACCATATCTTTTAGACTATTTCAATATGTTCACTATATTGATTTGTAGGTTTCCAATATGTTTTGTTTCTGGTAGGCCTCTGTACTTTGTGATCTGCTTCTGTTAAATTTCCTATCTAATCGGGACTACTATAAGCAGAAGAAGTTCAAGTATGTGGAGCGGAATTCTATCAATTCTGTGAGTAGACATCAATCTTATTCAGCTGTACTTTGAAACATTGTCCTTTCCTTTTTGAGAAGGATCCCTAACACATTTTAAAATGGAAACCAGAACTGAGAAGATTCTCCTGCCCAGTGAAATCCTTTCTCGTGTTCTGGATTCCTTTTGCCTAATCAGGTTGACCATTGAATCCTCATGGGAAGGAACTGTTGTAGAAACTGTCTTTTGTGGAACAATATGTTTACTGAGTCCAAGTGCCAGTAATTTTCATGATTCTGGTATGTTTTTGTACATTCTTCTTCTGCCCTGCCTATCTGGTTTTAACTTTTAGGTTTGATTCCCTATTAATACCCAAATCCCAGGCCTTGAACTCCTTGTAGAAAACTCAGTAGTTTATTTATCTCTCTAGAAATACAATTTCAAGAAATCTGCCCAAACTTTTGTCCATGGCAAGGTAGAGATTTGCTCCCATCAGATAGGAGTAATCAAATATAGGTACTCCTTGACTTATGACCATAATTGAGCCCAAAATTTTGGTTGCTAAGTGAGGCAGTTCGGTGAGTTTTGCCCCATTTTGCAACTTTTCTTGCCAAGGGAATCACGGCAATTAAGTTAGTCACACAGTTGTTAAATGAATCTGGCTTCCCCATTGACTTTGCTTGACAGACCTCTGGTCACAAAGGGAATCATGTGACCTCAGCACATTGCAACCATCATAAGTACAAGTCAGTTGCCAAGCCTCTGAATTTTGATCATTTGAACATGGGGATGCTGCAACAGTCATAAGTGTGAAAAATGATCATGTCGCGTTTTTTAGTGTTGTTGTAACTTTGAACAGTCACTAAATGAATGATTGTAAGTTGAGGACTATCTGTATACCAGAAGGCAAAATAAAAGACCAATCAAAGCATAGAGAAGTCAGCAAAGTGCAGGAAGACTATGTGTCAGCATTCCAAGTAATACACCCAAAGCAAAAAGAACTCCGAGGGAGGTAGATTCCTTAAAGAATAGTTTTATTGGATATATCATATTGGCACAGATCTGATGAAAACCAACTCTGAGAATTCCTGCCGCTTTCACCTAATTAAAAAGTGAAAGTTTCCCTTTCCCCCAATCACATTGTCCAATCTAGGTGCTAGCCAGTTGCCTGGTTACTTCTCTCCTCCGCCTCATTCCAGCCAGCTGTTGGAATGTCCTTGGTTCACAGGAGAAACCATTTTGTTATTCCCTTCTATTCCTTCCTCCCTATCCCTCAGCTCCAGTGTGGTGACACTGAAGCTTCAAAATGGCCTCAGTGAGGCCAGCTTCAGGGTTGACACTGTGATGCTAAAGTAAGGGCTTCATTAGAACAAGAATCTTTATTGAAGTCATACCTGTCCCAGATTCAATGGTGAACTATAAGATTCAACCTATGTAGAGTACATGGTAGTCTCCCAACTAGACATCAATCAGATCCAGATTGGCTTAGTTTCCAACCAATTGGAATAGTTGGATAAAAGGATATTCTCTGGAATAGAATCTTTGCATCCAGAAGACAAACATTCCTGGATTATGCACCTTTCATTCAGACCTAAATCCTGAAAACATTTTAGCCTTTTGCAGCAATCATATAATGTTAGATAAAGAAATATGCCTCTCATTTTATTGAATAACATTTATACCGTATAATCTTTTAAAACAATATTCTTAGGAAAAAGAAGACATTGACATGAGCAACTCACAAGGGAAGAAAAAGAGTTCTCTATGAAATTGTAAGTGAAAATGAAAAATAATGTTCATAGGAGAAATAATTTAATCTCCATCATGCTATTTAAATAATTTTTCTGAAATAAACTTTATTAAATTTGCAATTAAAATAGACAGACAACATGTACATAAGTGTGAGAAAGGAAAAGGAAACAAAGAAAAAAGAGTAGAAAGAAAAATCAGAAAACAAAAACAATTTCATCCTCGACAGTTTGTGGGACCTTATTTTTAACCTTATTTTATGCCATATGTACAATTAATCCTTGATATCAATATAAATATATATATACACATACATACATATACATATACATACACACACACACACACACACACATATGTATATATAAAATGTCTCACCTGGACAAACAAAGTAATAAGTCCAAATTTCCAACTGAAACACAAATAAGCAGGCAAGTCCGGTGATTACAGGGTTAAATTCCTTAATCCAAAAACATTCTTGGCAGTCTCACGCAAGCTGTCTGCCAAGTCCGATAAGGAAGCATAAATCACAAGCTGACGCCACACACAGGATAATTCTGAAGCTTCTCTTGCAAAATAACACGTTGTCCCGAACAAAAACCCAGAGCTAACACACCCACTTTTATTCCCTGTGGGGCGTGTCAGTCTCTCATCTCAGTCTCTGATTTGTCCTTTCTTTCTGTGCTGCATCTCACGCTTTTGCCTGCATCTTTGCCTCGCATCAAACCAACATTCCTCAGCCAGAGGCTCTGATACGTCCTCCTGGTTATCCGCCGACACCTGAGGCACAACCAGGGAGGAAGGTAATTCCAAATCCTCTAACAAAGCAGGCTCAAACCTCAGAGCCAAATCCTCCTCTTCCTCATTGTCCAAGTCTGTGACCTCTAGGAAAGCAGGCTCAAACCTCAGAGCCAAATCCTCCTCTTCCTCATTGTCCAAGTCTCCCTTAAATGCATTTTCCCTCCTCTTCCTTCCAAACCTCAAAATGACTTCTCTGATATACAGAAAGATCAAACATCATTGCCATCAAATTCCATGCCCAGGCCTTATCCATTCCCAGTAAAAGCCAAGAAGTTCCTATTGATTTCCCCATGCAACTTTACTCAAATAGCAAGTTTTAATATGAAAATTTAAAGATATTTACATGGGGGGGGGGGTTAACTTGAAAATTATATGTCTGGTTGTTTATTTCAGGTGTCAAGAGTTCCAACCTTTTATCATCTTCCTTCCTTTCTGATTTGTGGCAAAGGTGGGATTTGATCAACCTTGTTCCCTTACACTCTGGACTGACTTCCTGAGGTCCTGTTTTAAAGAATCATTCAATGCTTTCAGCACAGAGACACTGGACCCACCACACAAGGAATGTGGTTTTAAATTCACTCGGTCTGGAACACTTCACACTTCAGTTATGTTTTTACCACAAGGTGGAAGGTGTTGCAATTGTGTCAGTCTGTGGGAATCCAAGGGCACAGGAAACAGAAACTGTACATAATGGTTTGCTATCTTGTAAATCTGGACAAATTATAATGCCATGTTTTTATCAGGTATTTGTGAGCTGCCTCAAACCTGCCAGGGACTACTAAGCTGCTGTGGTTACTTGAAACTAGGCAGCCCTGCGGAAGGGCTGTGTCGACTTTTGTCAGATGAAAATGCTACCCAAATTCCCAGACTATAATTCCCAGAATTCCCCAGGGAGTTACAATAGAAGAATCTTGCCACCTGGCCATTTGTACATACTTTAGCTGGCAGGATCAAAGTGCTTGTGAGCTTAATGGCACAACTGAAGGCCTGTGTTATGCGCACATAATATGTATACACTCTTTTTCTACACACACAACCTTCCCCTCCTACATTCTTTTCAATCAGTGGCATCGGCTCCTGTTCATATTCCATGAAGATAGAGTTGCAGAGATTTTTGAAAGAAATATTGTATTTTGTTAAAAAGGAAGGAAATGAGAGAGAGCAATAAAACTAGTTTTGATACTACCTCAACTTGTGTCACTCAGTGAGTCTCTTTGTGATCATGTACATATTGTCTCCAACTTCTGCAAGCTTCTCCCTCTCCCTCCCTCCCTCCCTCCCTCCCTCCCTTCCTCCTTCTTTTCTCTCTCTCTCTCTCTCTCTGAATAATGTGGAAAAAAATGCAAACATAGATAGATCTGGATCTAGATCTAGATCTGGAAAAAAACTGCATATGACAATGTGAAGATTTCCTTCTGATTTCAACCAATTTTCAAAGTGATACAGAGCTTTGACAGAAATAGCAACAAGTTAGGCAAAGACCCAATGTAGTTAGCTCTCTATGCTGTTGAATCAACCAGGGGTGGGATTCTACAGGTTCGCACCTATTTCCTTGAACCCGTTGTTAACATTCTAAGCAGTTCAGAGAACTGGTTGTTAGAAGAAATTACTGGCCTAATCCTGTAAGAAAGGCAGGAAGGAAACATTCTGGTGTTGCTTACAGAAACTGCCTCTCTGTTAACTCTTATTACATTCTTGGCAGGACTAGACTTCCTGTCTCTGGAACTTCTCTGGAGTTTTTTTCCCCTCCTTTGCTGGTACTCTGCTTGTGTGGAGTGACCATTCAAAGTTACAATGGCACTGAAAAAAGTGACTTATAACCATTTTTCACACTTACGACTATTGCAGCATCCCCACAGTCATGAGAGGCCAGGCGAGGAGATGCATACCTCGATGTGAGTGATATTGAGTTGGCCACGCCCAGCCAGTCACATGACCACCAAGCAACACCCACCAACTAAGCCGCGCCCACAGAACCGGTTGTTAAAAACATTTAATCCCACCCCTGGTTTCAACATATTATTTACGTGTTTCTTATTCTTACATATTAGTATACCAATGAAGATCACTCTCAACAGTTTGCAATAGTATGTAAAGCCAAACCCCAGATGCATTTAAAATAAATTAAAACAAACTGTTAAAAACCAGGTTTCATAAGGTGCATGGTGTCAGCGTTCAATGAAAGCATTCCCCGTTTCATTCAGCACTCAGAAACAAAGTTCATCCAAGTAAGAATTTATTAGAGAAGTCATACTGGCACATCTGGGAAAACCTGAATCTGAGGGTTCCGGGTTTTCCCTTTGTAACTGAAAATAAAAAACCCATCCCCTGCACTCATCAGTCCATCACATGGTCCAATTGACCATCATTGCAACTGGAGATATTCCTCCAGGCACTCCTCTCCAGGTGCAGGGTAACTTGTCCTTGACTCAGAAGAAAAATATTGTTAGGTCTAAACTTCTACCTCTCTATGAGATCCCCCACCCCACCCCCCAATTCCCAGGCACTAAAATGTGGCAGCATGGAAGCTTCTAAGTAAATTATGGTTTCCAAAGTTTACAGATGGAATGACAGTGGGGAATGTCCTCAAAGAAACAAGTCCAAGAAAAATGTAGAGAAACTTAATCAATAAGTAGGATGATCCAGTAGGGAAGGCCACATGCTTCCAAATCACGTGTAGCTTTATCAGAACCTTGTCTTCCAACCAGAAATAATATTAAGATCATTTTTTTCTAGGAAGGGAAAAAGTTAAAGTAGCAACCAAAGCTGATTAAAAAATACTTAGGCTTTTTTTTTTGGTTGAAAGAAAACTATTAAAAAGTTTGTTTCCACTGCCAATATTTATCCTGCTTTCTTTCAAGTCACCACCAGTCACTTGGCTTGCCTCCAAAGCAACGCTGGTTGGATGAAGCTTCAGGTTCCCTTGGAGAAGGCAGGAGAAAATGGGGAAAATATTTCAATAGCCATACAGCTAAGCACAATTTGAACTAGTCATCTCAAGGCCTGGGGCTATGCTGAACGCAATGTCCTGGGGATATGGAAGAAAAATAATCTGGCCAAGATGTGAAAATAAGTGAAAGCCTTTCAATCTACAGAGCAACATCGTCGAATCCAGAAACAACCGAAAATGCTTGAGACAATGATCTTATTCAGAATAGGGAAGCCAACTCCTTGCCTGGAATTGGGGTCCATCACAAGGACTATTTCCAAAGCACCTGAAGCGCAGGACAAGAAGCAATGGGTGGAAACTAATCAAGGAGAGAAGCAATTTACAACTAAGGGGAAAATTCCTGACAGTTAGAACAATTAATCAGTGGAACAATTTGCCCCCAGAAGTTGTGAATCCTCTAACACTGAAAGTTTTTAAAAATATGTTGGATAACCATTTGTCTAAAGTGGTGTAGGGTTTCCTGCCTAGGCAGGGGGTTGGACTAGAAGACCTCCAAGGTTCCTTCCAACTCTGTTATTCTATTCTAAATTTAATATAATCAAAGCTACACTATGAGTTTCCCAGTAGTAATGTATGGCTGTGAGAGGTGGACCATAAGGAAGGCTGAGTGCCAAAGAATTGATGCTTTCAAATTATAATGTTGGAGAAGACTCTTGAGAGTCCCTTGGACTACAAGGAGATCAAATCAGTCTATCCTAAAGGAAATCAACCTTGACTGTTCTTTGGAAGGACAGATACTGAAGCTGAAGCTCAGATACTTTGGCCACTGAATGAGAAGAGACGACTCATTGGAAAAGACCCTGATGTTGGGTAAGATTGAAGGCAAAAGGAGAAGGGGATGGCAGAAGGTGAGAGAGTGTCATCAACGCAATGGATATAAGTTTGTGCAAACTCCAAGAGACAGTGGAAGAGGGGCCTGGTGTGCTATGATCCATTGGATCACAAAGAGTTGGACATGACTTAACAGCCGAACAACGTTGTTACGATCAAACAGTCCCCAAATCTGGCATTACCCAGATGCAATTTCCATCATCCTCAGGCAGTCTTGATTGATTCTGTGCCATCAAGTAATTATAAACTCCAGGTAATGACCTATATAGATTTTCTCCATAACAACATATCCTTAACCTGTTTTTTTCAAGTATCCTAAAGGTGTACTCATCAACACCATAAGTGAATCCCTTCACCTTGTTCCTGGTCCTCCTCCTCTTCTCTTTCCTGCCATCTTTTCCAGCATGAGAACCTTTTCCAGAGATCAGGCAGCATAGATAAGCTGAATGGCTGTCCCAGGCTAGGATGTGAGACTCTAATTTCAGTTCCTCAGTCAACCATGAAACTTTGCTGGGAGACCTTCAGCTGTCAAATCTTAGGATAATACTGTATATCTTGCAGGGTTGATATGAAGAAAGAATGCAAGAGAAATCCATGCAGTATTTCTTTCCTGAAACTCTGTGACCAGTGGCTTAGATAGATTTTTTTGGTTTATTCTACCAGGACTCTCCAGTTTTATCTTTTCAGTTTCTAAGCAATTTGATAATCCCATAATTAAGCCTGTGGAGAATAATTACCACAGAATTAGACATGGCCAGCAGAGGGAATAAGAACACTTACTAAAGGCTACTGAAGGTTCCTAAAACATTTTTAAAATATGAACCGCTGTTTCGTTTAGAAAAATGATTTTAAAAAAAGATTTCTGAAGACTTTGGCATCTCAATAATATGCTACACATATTATAAGCATTCCTTTTCTTTCTGATGATTAAATATGAGTTATCAGTGCACACAAGGGAGCAAGCAGCAAGCACAGGTTCCATTCCAAGTTAAACTACTTTTTCGGGGATTGGAAGGAAGATCCCTGTCCAAAACCAATAATTCAATAAGGACCAAATGTGCTTACTGGCCATAAAATGCTGAATGTTGGCTGACACCCACCCACCTCTGAAAAATGAGAAGGATAGGGAATTGGAATAGATGACTAAGTGGTCTAAGTGAGATCCTAAACTACCTTGCAAATTCTGTTTTGTCCTTTTCATGTGCCATTTTACTGCCGGGATGAAGTACATCAGCACAAAATAAAAGCTTCAAGAAAATCTCAGTGCAGATAAACAAGAACTTGGGTGGTGCAGTGGTCAGAATGCAGTATTGCAGGCTAACTCTGCTGACTGCCAGCAATTTGATCCTGATCGGTTCATGGTTGACTCAACCTCCCATCCTTGAAAAAGTAGGTAAAATGAGGACCCAAATTGTTGGGGACAATACGCTGACTCTGTAAACCACTTAGAGAGGGCTGTATAGCACTCTGAAGTATATGTATGTGTTCTGTCCCACCTGTATCCACAGATGAAACTTCAAGTTATAGAGTTCAAATACTTTACGTAAACAAAACCAGAGTCAGAAGATTGAATTGCTCTGTTATCACAGTCCTTTGGCAATTCTCCTAGAATCTGTCCAGGAATTCTGTAAAGTTCGTAAATCACAACACAGTAATTAGACGCAAGTCTTTCCAAGGCAAGATTCACTTTGTTTCCAGCAAAGATTTCAAAGTCGTGCACTCCCTTATATCCTCTAAGAAAGGGTGTGTCCGTCTCATTAATTAATCCTTTGCTGGACGTCTCTTTTCTAATTGAGATTGACGTCTCAATCTTCTCCTAGTTCTGGCATCCATCCAGCATCCAGCAGTTTCTTCACAGCTTGAATCCTCTGATACACTTTCCTGATTAACAGTTAACACCTGAGGTGTAATTAGGGAAGTAGATTCAGTGGACTCTGAATCCTCCAATAAATCAGGCTCATATCTCAAATCCAACTCCTCTCCCTCTACTTGACTCCCCTCTAAGTCACTTAATAATGCAGGCTCAAATCTCAGTGCCAGATCGTCTTCCTCGCTCGAACCCACATCTGCTGACTGATCAGGTTCAAGTCTCGGAGTCACAACATATATGTATGTATGTATGTATATATATCACTTCACTGTGAAGTGATATTTATATATAAAAATCTAAGTGATACTGCTATTGCTATACTATCAAATGCAAGCTGTGCTTCATGTCTGAATCTATAATATGAGAGACATGCAAAGCCAAGGAGCTGAAGGAACTTAAAATCACTAAAGATGCATGTAATTCGTGCATTAACTAATTTTATGAGGGCTTCTAAGCTCAGAGTTGCTCCAACTGTGAGGTAGTTGGCATATAAAATTGATAAA